TGGCAGTAACGTTAGCTGCCAGAGTTTCTTTCTACAGGCTAAGTTTCACGTTTCTTAGCAGATACTTCAATATGAGGGAGAAACTTATGTGAAAGCAACACAGAATGCCTGAGAGCTGCACTGCATTATTATTAATATATATATATATATTAGAATCAGAATCAGAAGGAGCTTTATTGCCAAGAAGTGTTTTACACATACGAGGAATTTGCTGTGGTGATAAGATGCTACACGTAGATAAACATACAGTCGACATAAATAAATGTAGAAATATATAAATATGGAATAGAAGAACAACGTTGCAGATATATACATGTTCATTATTCTGGGTCTGTGCAGTATAGAATTAACGCAACGGAAGAGAATATTGTGTACATATAAATATATAAACTGACAACATAAAAATATACAACAACAAAGATCAACAATCAACAACAAATATGTGCGACGTGCCAGGTCTGTGCCCGACACGAGATGAAACAGTATTTACATGTGCAGAGACATTTGTATCATTTGCAAGGGGGGAGTGTCAGTGGGGGCGCCGGACCTTGTTAATGAGGCTAGCTGCAGACGGGAAGAAGCTGTTCTTGTGGCGAGAGGTTTTGGTCCTGATGGACCACAGCCTCCTGCCAGAGGGGGGAGTCTGAAACAGTTTGTGTCCGGGGTGGGAGGGGTCAGCTGCAATCTTTCCTGCACGCCTCAGAGTCCTCGAGGAGTAGCATTTAGCTGAGACTTTTATTCAAAGCGATTACAATTGCTATATATATACTGTATATATGAGGTTGGACGCCTCTGGAGTAACTAGGGGTTAATTTTCTTGCTCAGGGACACATTGGTGGATGTGTCACAGTGGGGATTATACCCAGGTCTCTCATACCAACAGCATGTGTCTTATCCACTGGGCCATCACCAACCCTTTATGTCCTGGGGGCGGGGATCACTGATTTTCTGCATCATTTACCTGCACCTTAAGCTTGTTGTGGCACACAAAACAGTCCCTTAAGAACTGAAATTCATGATATTACAGTTCTATATATAATGATGATATAAATAAAAACACTTTGAAATGATAAAGTTAACGTTGGTCCAGTAATAAGAGGAGCCTGTTGATTTGGTACAACTGATAAAGGTATATTCAATATAGCCAACAATTGCAGATATTCATCTCAACCTGTAAGTCTCTGGCTGTCAGACACGTTGTGAGAAGCCATTACTCCTCTTATCAAATCATACACGAGACCCTTTAATAACATTACCGTTAAACACATACTCCCCACGTTCAGTCCATGCAGATATGTTTTTTGAGGAGAACATTTTATCCAAAATATGTTGAGTTTTATTCCTAGTGTTTTTTGGGCATGTTTTTTAAAATTTCTTCAAAAACAAAATCTCTTCCTTCTTGATTCTCCTGCTCTGAAGAGTGAAAATCCTCAGCGACCGGCATTGACAAAGTTAGTGTGTTGTGGTCTTTTTCTCCTTGTTTTACCATGGTGAGAAATCTCTGCAATGCGAAGGAATATTTTTTTGCTTTTTCATGAAGATCTTCAGTCTTTTGATCTAGAATGTCTTTAATAGTACGATCCAGGTCATTTTCAACAGTTTCTCGAATAGACTCGTGTGCCGGAGGTCTTCTTAAAAGATCAAGCTGTTGTTTAAGTACCAGAAACATTTTTTGTGCATATTTCATAGTCATCTAAGTTTGTCTTGAAGCAATAAGACTCGTTATAAAAGGCACAGCAATACTCAGGAGGGGGAGAAGAAAACCGCCAGACTGTTTAAGCAGTCATCCGCCCCTCCCGATTATAATAATAATATAATACTTTACTGATCACCGAGGGGAAATTCTTTTGTTGCAATTGCACACTTGTCAAAGTTGCAGAACAGTAAAGGGAAGCAATACCTCATAGATGTGTCTAGTTTGCCGAATACAAGAAGAAGAAGAAGAAGAACTCTTCCTCTTCCATTCCCAACATGTGCTAGTGTGACTTGTGTATTTTGTGTCTCAATCATTGTGAGTGGAGGAATAACAACTTACCTGTGTATCATTGTTGTGAGTACAGAAACCGCAATTTAGGTATTCTAAAAATTGGTTGACAACCTTGTTTTGTTGGCTTCAGCCCTTGATTTGTAAATCGATTGCCTTTTTTGTAAATATAACTTTGTATATATTGTCTGTACAACTAGCAGTTTCAAGGAGTGAGAAACCCTTTTTCTGTTTGAGTACCTTTTTCTCCTGTTTTTTGAATTAGAAGCCTAGGTTAGAGGTTTGTCTTTTCTTTACATTTTGTTTTGGTTTAGGGAAGCTTTTTGTTTCTTATTTTGAGCACTGTTCAATCTGAGTGAAATATAACTACTAATTTGTAATTCCCTTTGTTCTCTGGCATTGCTTGGGAATTGGAAGAGTGGGGAGCCACACCTGATGTTGCGTCCAGGTTGCCCCTAGACCACGGACGTAACATTTGTTTAAGGCATGGTAACAAAAGTTAAGGTTTTGATGCTTTGGTCTAAGCATTTCCTTTTAGTGTCTAAACAATTAGATTTTTTTTATATATATATATTACTTTCACTACCACCACCCTCCCGAAACAAAGCAGTCACTCTTGACTTTTTAACTGATATCATATAAATAACAGCAGCATGGAGTTTGTTTTTTTGGTTGTTTTTTTTTACAAAACATAATGTTTCTTAACGCCACCGGCTGATTTAAAAAATAAAGCAAGTCAATACCGACTTTCTGTACATGCATTTATAAGAGCAGTGTTTTTACAAAAACACAACAAGTGCATGGATCACTGACAGTTTCATACTGGTTACTGTGAAAAGTATGACTTAACTTATTTTGAAATGAGAAGCGGTAAGTAACTAAGTGCTCTACAGCACTGGTACTGGTTCAGTCATATGAGCTTGCAAGAAAACCAGTATCTGGTGGCACAGGACAACTGTTCACCCCAGAGCCAGAGACCTGTATTATGGTATATATACAATATGGTCACTGCAAATAACTGCATCACACTCAGAGGCCTACAGGGCTACATACAGATACCACAATGCAAAAGCAGGTAATGAAAGTTGAAATGTGTTATATTTAGTTTTTTTCTAAAACACAAATAGTTTCTCCACAACTATACTATAGCCTATGGTATTCTTTTATAGGTTGATAGGGTGATACAAGTGAATCATGAGTTAAGCATGACAATACAGGCTCTGTATTATGAAATTCAGTGGTAGTATACATAAAACCCAGGTGGTGCTCAGCACGGGTCTATAATGTGAGATATATAACTATCTTTAAACATGTGCATCATACGATAAGCTTTGCTAAAATGGTTCCTTTGAATACTACATAAATGCCATCAGTGTCACAAGCAGGGTCCAGGCAGGAGAGTTTTTTCTATGAGAACATATACTTGAGAAATTGTTTTTTGCGATTTTTACAGTACCGTAAATCATTTCAAGGTTTTTTCGTTTAAGTCAGAGTTATGGGTAGCATGGCTGCAACAGACACGTATGTACAATAGTGTTGCGGTGGCAGCCCAGCTGACGGTGAGTGCCCTGTGCTCTTTTGTTTCTTTTTCCTTCGTCTCGCATTTCTGTTTTCTCCCCCGTGTCTCCTCCCCTCTCCCTCTGTGTGTGCTCTCTCCCTCTCCGCCCCGGAGCCTGGCTGATGATCCTCACCTGTGTCTCGTCAACCTCCACCGCCACACCTGCCAGCCATCAGCCTCATCTTCAACAGTATTTCTACCCCGGTTCTCCACTCCATCTCCGCTTGATCGTCGTCGCTCCAGTCCTGGTGCCACTTTTGCGTTCTAAGCTCTCTGATACCTCGTTCCCTAACCTGTTGTCTCCCGAAACTAACCCTGTCTTTTCTTTCTCCCCGCCAGGTTCACTCACCTCCGCCATCCAGTCAGTCAGCTGGGCTCGCCTACCTGCCTTCTCCCCTCGCCTCGCCTCCGCAGCGTTCCCCCGGCTTCCCTCCACGCTCCTCGCCCCTCTCGCCTCGGCCTCCTGCCCCCTCTCGGTCGCCTCACCTGAGCCTTGCCAGCCCCGCCAGCTCCTCGGCCCTCCGCGCCCACGTCTGCCAGCATCCAATTTACCCCTTTTCACCTCCCGTCTCTCCTCTCCCTTTTTTTCCCTCAATAAACCTCTTTTTCGAACTGACAAGCGTTGCGCTTGGGTCCGTTCTGTCCGAAACCACAACACAATAGTATCATAACACACTAATTAAATTGTGCAATTGCTTAGATCAACCTGACCTCCAACCTAAATGACCAAATGGGTTGTTTCTCAATGCCTCCCAAAACAACAGGAGCGTTTCACATACCAGTCCAGCAACAGGAGACCAGACCTTAACTATGTTACATAGGACACATTGCATGAGCATATCTGCCAAATCTCTTATTTTTCCCTTGATGAACATGAGAAGGATGGAGTACCTGCCAAAAGGCAATCATTTTGTCCAAGTATCTCACAAAATGGGATTCATTTGTCTCCCTCACCCTACCTCTCCTATCCATTTGTTTCTCTGGGGGAAGATCTTTCTGAGACTGCATACTACAGACCTGTTCGGATCCTTCCAGTAACATCTAAGGTGATTGCAAAAGTTGTCTCCAAGCAGCAAATTAACCACTAGATTTTGGGTCACGATTGTTTGAATGAAATGAAGTTTAGATTTAGACCGAAACATTTGAGACTGCCTTTCGTTATTATGTACAAGAGTTGAAACACATGTTGGATAAAGGACGGGTGGTAGAAGCCAGCTTTATAGATTTAAAAATGGCATTTGATACAGTCAAGCACATTGTACTGTTATCTAGATTATCAACTCATGATGTCTAAGCAAATACTATTGAATGGATGGCTTCAAATTTGAGTAACAGACAACATTGTACAAGAATTAAAGGAACAACCTCATTCTTAGACAGTCCTATTGGTGTTCCACAAGGTTTGGTTTTAGGCCCTCTCTTATTCTGTATGTAAATAAATGATCTACCATACATCTGTACAAAAGTTATATGGTCATTTATGTTCATGCTACATCAAAACAGCAAGCTGCATCTCTACCCACAGAGGCTATGGAGAAAATTGCAGATTGGATGACATGTTCATGCTTGACACTAAATTTATCCAAGATGGTCGGTATGTTTTTTGCTTTAGGGAAAGCAATTGCCCTCCTCATGAAATTAATATCAAAGGACAAAGGGTACAGCATGTTCAGCACATTAAATATGTATGTGATTATTGATAGTGGTCAGCAAAACTGTATGCATGCAATGATATTGTCACATTTTTCATACTGTAGTCAACCTGGTCTCAAACAGGTAGTACATTAATGCAACCACTCCAGAGTCCGTATAAGCAAGCATTTAGAGAAAAACTTAATTCTCATTATTACTGTAATATAGGTAAAGTATGAAAGTATGAAAATTTAGTTCAGGGACAATCAAATATGTACTCATTGAGCTGTGAGACACTGAATGTGGACAGTATTGGTCTTGTGTGCCAGGTTAATGTTTTGTACTGATGGATTGTGTATTTTTAGATTGCGATTGTTGATGTTGTTGTGTTTTATATGGAAATGTATTATTGTTTTGTTTTGGGAGGATTGATATTTGAGTGTGTTATGTGTGGTCTGATTTGGTCGGCTTTTTATGAAATCTAAGATTTGTATTTATTATTAATCTTTAATAGTAATATCCTGCACACTACTGGCACCTGCCCAGGGACTGCACATGAGAATTAGCTTTTAGCTATGTTTGGTACAATACATATTTTGTGCATTGTCCCTGTCAAATAAAAAAACAGTAACCTCTCAAATCCCAAGGTATGGATAAGTCACATGACATTAAACACGTGGTTGACGTAAAACAGCCACAGTTTTGTTAGATTTTGACAACAAAACTACTTGCTTATGTTAAGGAAAACATTGTGTTTTGGGTTAAAGTAAATTAAGTACTTGCATGTAACTCAAGTGATGGAAGTCAGTAACGCTATTTAACCTAACAATAACTCAACAATTACTTTGTTTCACATGGGACTCAAATACCGTTCTCCTGTGTGAAAGTCCTCAGTTTGACCCATCCATCCACCTCCTTTCATGGACTTTGTCTATTTATAATATGTCACTCAACTTCCTCCTGCTACCATTGTAAGGCCACTAGAGCCAGCCAGCCATAACAAAAACATCTTAATTTTGTTATGTTATGAAGTTATATTGCAGCATCCCACCTATGTCACTGAAATGAGAGAGATAAATCATGTTTTCTACATAGTCCAACTTGTAAATGTACAGTTTATTTCATGATATGAACAGATTCTATGGAAAGAATAATAACGGGCACTGATTGGTCATGGGGCAAAGGGCTCTGAAATATGAAGAGATAAGTTTAGCAAGTGAAAGAACGACATTGTTATTTCATGAAACCTGCACATTTACCATAAATTGCATCAAGGTAACTGAGAATAGCAGCACATTATTGTATTTCAGAGCATTCACGCTATCAGCCACATCAGTAGTAAGGCACAGTTTTAAACTACATGCAGAGTTAGTTTCTATGATGCCTGCTTGGTTGAAAGTGGTTAAAGTTTAATTATTTTGTTCCTGTAAAGTCACTAACACTATAGAGAACAATATCAGTTGTTCATGCTACAACCCATTATAAAGGTTCTCAACTTAATGCAGCTAAGTGTTTTCATTATTTTTGGATGAATTCAGGAAATTGTTTCTGTAATTTCTTTCCTGGTTGTCACTTGTGAAAACCTTGAAACTCCACTATGTTTTTGTCTGTAATTGTTTTGCATGGATCCAACAAGTGTTATAAAGGCTGACCATAGAGGACCTATACAGTATATTTGTTTTGTCTTCAAAAATAGAGTAGCCAATGAAATAATGTTGTTTTTTAACAGCCCAAATCAGGTTTTTGGTGAAACAAAGTTTTCATAATCTGACAACAGCATTATGCTTCTTTCACTTTTTCATCATAAGTGCCGCTGCCCTTGTAAGATCCCACATAGCCACTAGTGTCTGGGATGTCCTCGCGCCCGGCCTTTCCTCTTCCTTTTCCTGACTCATCGAACCGCTCCTTGTGTGCTCCAGTGTACTTGGTGGCATCGGTCAGTCTGTCTACTGCTGCTGCCTTTGCCACTTTCTAAAAATAATAGAAGATAACAATTACAGTGAAAAAACAATAATAAACAGGGGGTGATTTCACTCCTTTGTTCATTCAGGTTGGAAAATACACACACATAGGTTATCCCTCTGCTTGCCTTACTTCCATTCTGTTTCTCTCTTATTATTTTAGGCTTTTTCCAGCACTTCTATGAATTAACCCTGTAAAAGAACTTCAGTTATTTTCAATTATTATTTTGGGGCTAAACGATGGCCATGGCACATACAGTAGGCCAGATTTAGCCAATAAAACCAAAATATCTGTGAACACATTGTTATACAGTGGGTACGGAAAGTATTCAGACCCCTTTAAATTTTTTACTCTTTGTTTCATTGCAGCCATTTTCCAAAAATCAAAAAAGTTAATTTTATTTCTCAGTAATGTACACTCAGCACCCCATCTTGACAGAAAAAAACAGAAATGTAGAAATTTTTGCAAATTTATTAAAAAAGAAAAACTGAAATATCACATGGTCATAAGTATTCAGACCCTTTGCCGTGACACTCATATTTAACTCAGGTGCTGTTTCTGTTTCTTCTGATCATCCTTGAGATGGTTCTACACCTTCATTTGAGTCCAGCTGTGTTTGATTATACTGATTGGACTTGATTAGGAAAGCCACACACCTGTCTATATAAGACCTTACAGCTCACAGTGCATGTCAGAGCAAATGAGAATCATGAGGTCAAAGGAACTGCCTGAAGAGCTCAGAGACAGAATTGTGGCAAGGCACAGATCTGGCCAAGGTTACAAAAAAATTTCTGCTGCACTTAAGGTTCCTAAGAGCACAGTGGCCTCCATAATCCTCAAATGGAAGACGTTTGGGACGACCAGAACCCTTCCTAGAGCTGGCCGTCCGGCCAAACTGAGCTATCGGGGGAGAAGAGCCTTGGTGAGAGAGGTAAAGAAGAACCCAAAGGTCACTGTGGCTGAGCTCCAGAGATGCAGTCGGGAGATGGGAGAAAGTTGTAGTAAGTCAACCATCACTGCAGCAATCCACCAGTTGGGGCTTTATGGCAGAGTGGCCCGACGGAAGCCTCTCCTCAGTGCAAGACACATGAAAGCCCGCATGGAGTTTGCTAAAAAACACCTGAAGGACTCCAAGATGGTGATAAATAAGATCCTCTGGTCTGATGAGACCAAGATAGAACTTTTTGGCCTTAATTCTAAGCGTATGTGTGGAGAACACCAGGCACTGCTCATCACCTGTCCAATACAGTCTCAACAGTGAAGCATGGTGGTGGCAGCTTCATGCTGTGGGGGTGTTTTTCAGCTGCAGGGACAGGACGACTGGTTGCAATCGAGGGAAAGATGAATGCGGCCAAGTACAGGGATATCCTGGACGAAAACCTTTTCCAGAGTGCTCTGGACCTCAGACTGGGCTGAAGGTTTACCTTCCAACAAGACAATGACCCTAAGCACACCGCTAAAATAACGAAGGAGTGGCTTCACAACAACTCTGTGGCTGTTCTTGAATGGCCCAGCCAGAGCCCTGACTTAAACCCAATTGAGCATCTCTGGAGAGACCTGAAAATGGTTGTCCACCAACGTTTACCATCCAACCTGACAGAACTGGAGAGGATCTGCAAGGAGGAATGGCAGAGGATACCCAAATCCAGATGTGAAAAACTTGTTGCATCTTTCCCACAACGACTCATGGCTGTATTAGATCAAAAGGGTGCTTCTACTAAATACTGAGCAAAGGGTCTGAATACTTATGACCATGTGATATTTCAGTTTTTCTTTTTTAATAAATTTGCAAAAATTTCTACATTTCTGTTTTTTTCTGTCAAGATGGGGTGCTGAGTGTACATTACTGAGAAATAAAATTAACTTTTTTGATTTTTGGAAAATGGCTGCAATGAAACAAAGAGTGAAAAATTTAAAGGGGTCTGAATACTTTCCGTACCCACTGTAAATCTCACTTAAACAGAGATGGAAGTCCTTCTAGGTTCTTGTCCCAACCTTAAAGGGTAATTCTGGCATTTTTAAACCGGGGCCCTATTTTTATATATTTTGAAGTCTAAATGACTTATAGGTACAAAAAGTTTTGGAATTGGACCAGTAAATTGTCTCAGCCACAGAACAGTACGCAATGGCTGCAATGTAATCCTGTCAACCAAAAGTTGACTGACCACTGACAGGCTTAGATAGATATTCTAAGAACCATTACTTGTGTTCTTCATTACTTGTAACATTTTCTACATACTACCACTTTTTTAAAAAGGTCTATCTCTGTAGGGATCCTTTCCATAATTTGTCAGACTATTAGAATAACAATATGAGCCTGTCAGTGGCAAAAGCTAGCACTTTTAGTGGACATACTTTTGAGGTGATATACTTAATTTCAAAACTCTTGCATCATTTAGACCCCAAAATGTGTAAAACATTTGGGCCCATGTTTACCCTTTAACCAGCCTCAAATATATCTAACCTTAACATAAACGCCAGCACGCTCCACATTATATCTAAGCTTATACATGTAAACGCAATAATTTATCGATTGTAAGGTGGTGGGTCAATTGTAGTCCTATGCTATGTAACACAGTAACAGAGACACAGTAAATGCAGTCCCTGGATGTTGCTTGCATCCACTTGGTAAAAGGTGAGTATGTTGTGGTTATGTCTGATGCAGTACTCACAGTAACTCCGATGTTGGCAGGCTCCTTCCCAGCAATGAGACCATAGAGCTGCTGAAGCGCCTCCTCTTTGCTTTTGCCTTTAAAACGTTTGGGAGCCAACTCCATCAGGGCCTGGTTGAACTGCTCAAATGTAATTACACGAGCTGACTTTGCCCTGAGGAAATACACAGTGTCAAATTTTTTCTGAGGAAAAACAAAATTATCCAAATAATGCAATGTTCCCATTTGCATATTATTATTATAATGCCACGGGGCTAGGCAGTGTGATTATTATTTACATGTGACATTTTTTACATAAAAGACCATGCACTGCAAATGTAAATTAGCAGTACATATTATTCAACAACTCATTCATCTAGAAAGCTAGAAAAGTAAATTAATCCACGGCTAGACACACATAGACACCAAGATGTAGTGTCATCACAACAATGTACAAAGTTTAATACAAATAAAAATATCTAGAAATGGGATTATGGTGTAATTATGATTACATGTTAGCTGAACAATGGTCACTGGCAATATTAAAATCATTTTGTCTTTTTAGCAATGGTCACCACTTTGGTCCAAAGAGAAACATCTCAACAACTATTACATGTAGCCTACTGCCATGACATTTTAGAAACGTTAGAAATGTTTCCGGGAGGATCAATTCTATAACCTTTGGTGACTTTTTCTCTAGCACCATGAGGTTCATATTTTGGTATTTTAGTTAAAATGGATCTACAATATTGGATGGATTACCATGACATTTGATTCATCTATCTATGGTGAAATTACTTTGGTGGTCCCCTGACTTTTTATCTAGCATCATGGGGTCGTCAGGTCAGAATTTTAATTTGTTCAAGTCTTTAAACAAATTACTTTCTCATCAGCCTCTGCTGTATTGCGTATGCGTTTATTGCTAATGGTGAACATTTTACCTGCTTAACAGCATGTTAGCATGTTTCCCTTAGAATTTAATCCCTTAGCATCACTGTGCCTATGTACAGCCTCACAGAGCTGTTAGCATTGCTGTAGACCGTTAGTTCTGTTTAAATAATTTTAGCCAAGTGCTTATTTGGCAAATAAGTGACACAACTTTTGTCCACTATGCTTTTTTTCCCACAGCACCAGACCACAAATTATTGTTCTAAAACTATTAATAGTCAAAAAAAAAAGCCTCTCCATGATTTTGTGCATTTGGAATTGATGTGCGCTGCAACAGCTGATACCGAGTTTACTGCTTTTCTTGGCTGTTTGTTACACAGTGGCAGGGTTGCTGTGTTATGAATGTTTTAGCTGCTGATGGTTAAACCTGAATTAAATCTTACTTGACTTTGCTGAAAACTATGTCAACATCTGTAGTGGTGACGTTCTTGCCATCGATGATGTGACAGTCCTTGCAGATTTTGGCAAAGTTCTTGCCGTTCATTTCCTTCCCTGTGGCCTTAGTGTCTCCATGGACTGCAAACTTCTGGAAGGATGTCTCCACCTCTGCTATACTCACTGAGCCCTCAGCCATACTAACAGATACACACACAGTATAAATGCATTTCTGGTCAATGTGCAGATTAACAGAAGATTCAGGTACTGTTGACTAAGGTTAACACACAGATATATGATCTTTACAGTCACATATGGTTCAATTGTCCTAATCCTAAAATAGCCCTTCAAAAAGTAATGATAAACATCATTACTTTGGTTGACGTTGATTTACTTTCTATCCTTGTGAGGACACTTTGTAAAATTAAAGAACTCACTCAAATTCAGAATGACTCTATTAGCTGATTGACAATCGGTTCGGCCTGCCAAGAAATGGCTGTAATCATGGTCAGTCTAAGTGAACATTTTCTCTTTCCCTCTTATACACACACAAACATAAACACACGCAGAAACGCACTTTCACATCCATCATAATGTTAGTGTTCCTAAAGCTGCTCTCAGACCAATTTAATTCAATCAGTTCAGTTTCCAAATGGCTGCTTGGCTGTTAAATCTATAGTGAATGAACATGAGCAGGCTCCTTGTCTTTATCTTCTTCTCCTCTACTCAGTCTATATATACACCACATTTGTCCATCACTTAATTATTTGCTGTTTGCTGAAAGGTAAGGATCTAAGAATGCACATTCAGTAAGCTTGGGTAATAATTGTCACATCTAAAATGCATAAATATTTAAAAAAAGGTAAAGGTAAAAAAAGGGTTTTACTGAAGGTATTAATCATTACTGGAGCATGAATTAAGACATCTAAACTGTCTGTTTCTGTTTCCCCTTTGTTGTATTAGGTACTACGACGTGAAAGAGTGATGCTGAAAGAGAAAGTAAAGTGTACCTGCTGCCGTAAATGGAAGGATGTTGTGAAAATATTCAGGTCAAAATCCTGATTCGTCTACAACTGCTGGACCTCTCCGTCCTCCTCTTTCTTCTTCTTTCTCCTCTGCCACTCCTCCTTCCTGCCACTCCCAGACTTTCTCACGATGACGACAGAGACAGAGAGATACAGAGAGGCAGGAGGAGAGAGAAAAGGAGGAGTGGGAGGAGGGAGAGAGTACCGACCAGCACAGTCAGTGACATCATGGGCACTCAGCCTCTCGTGTTTATTCAGTCTCATTAGCTCCTCGCCTCTTTGTACAGACTTCTGTTGAAACATTTATCACGTTCTGTTAATCTTATTGTTTTTATTTTATTGTTTTTATTATCATTCTATTCCATAGATCATGTTTTATTTTATTTCAATTGATTTATTATTTATTAAATTGATATTACAAGTCTTCAGATATTTCTTCTGTAACCCAGGTTTTGGGGCAGGGATTACATAAATAATGATTATCTTTCTCTCCATTCAACCCAGAATTTGCTGTTCTCACCTTTTTCTCCCATCTATAACACTAAACTCTACTCACATCTGTCTGCCATGTCGAATCGCCACTGTTCCCCCTCCCTCTTGCTTTCTCCCTTTTCCCTTTTACTGTCATTGTCACAAGAGCCCTCTTGTCTGGACAAAGATGAGAGCAGCCCTTCAAAGGACAAAGAGCACTGACAACGTAAAGCTGACACATTAAAGGAAAGATTATCTCATCTCAATCGAGTTGAATATCAGAGCCTTGGAAACAGAGCAGGCCTCTTTACACAGTGGTGAGAGTGTGATTATTATGTTTATCCCACAACTGCACTATCAACACTCTCAGTACATGGACCTACTATGTTACGGTTCGTGTTTGGTGAGCAGGTTGGAGGACCCAAATGCAGGACACGTTGAGCGGAGCAGGTATAGTTCTAAAGTTTAATAAACAAAGGCGAGCACACTTACAAGGTGGAGTGGCTGATAAACAAGTCCAAAAACAAGGAATCCAAACAAGAAACCAAAATCTAGGGATTGGACGCTCGATACTGACGTGTCGACACTTTGTCGAGATACCGTTCCAAGGACACACAATCCTTTGATTTACTGCTGTAGTACATCCGCACCTGTAGGCCAAAACATACTTTTTGCCAGCAACAAATGTTCCATGTCACCAAATTTTTCCAAGGCTGGGGATGTCAATTATGAAAAAAAACTCAGCCACAGCTGAATATTTCTGAATAAAATTCTTGACATATAACAAATGTGAGACATTGTTCCATTTTTCATTTATCATTCTTGAAACAACTTCAACTTTACTCAGTTACAGATTTTTAATCCATTACACCTCATCACTGCCAGCACTCATTATTAATTATTATTACACTAGGGCCTATATCTTTCTTACTAATTATCATTACACATCTGTTAATAAGCTACTGTGTAATACTGTAGATATCCACATTTATCACTATATTCTTAGATTTGTATACTTTATTATATTCTCTACTCACTATAACTTCAACTTTATTTCTATTCTGTTTAGGCCTTGCGAGTATCTGCAACAAAGAATTCACCCTCATAGATCAATAAAGTATTTTGATTGTGAAAATGGATAGGGTAGTGGTGTGTGTCCCTGAACAAGACACTTAACCCCTAGTTGCTCTCAAGGTGTGCCCTCTGACACAGCAATTGTGATTTGCTTTTGAGAAAAGCCTCAGATAAATGAGTGATTACTTATTAAACAACACACAGATGTGATTTTATTGCAATCCCCATATGCTGTCTCTGACAATCTGAAGGCATTTGTTTGTTTGTTGTATGGTGATTTCTCTGAAACCGTGTTGGTCATGTACTGATAAGACGTTTAGAATTGTAAACGCTGGTCAGTCATTGTTTCAATGAAACCCCTACCAAGATGTGTCAATATCAAAAGTGACCAGTAGATGTCACCGTGGAGACGGGTGTCGAAGGGTTTCGAAGCCTCGACACAATTCCGGCACAATTGCTTCAAACGTTTTAGTGTGTCTTAAAGCCTCGCCTTGCCAAAATCCATAGAAACCGGGTGACAAGACGAGAACGATGAGCAGAGCAGGCTACACAGGACAACACACACCAAGACACTGTAACACAAGGTAATGACCGACAAAGACTAAACAGGAACACCAGGTAAATATACAGGGACTAACGAGCAGGGTGGGAGCAACACAGGTGACAGGGATCAAGATTAACGATGTACAGGCAGGCATGGGGAGAGCGGGGGGGGGGGACTGTCATGCAGAGGAATCACTGGGGTAATAGACATGACACAGATTACTGAACACTAGACAAGACAGAACTCCAATACCCAACAGACCAAAATAACAGATAATAAACTGACCAAACTCAAAAGTGCAAAACATGGCAAGGCTGACAGGCAGAGTGTGACATACTATCTCTTATACTAAACTTTATACTGCCATTAATTCCATATGTAATATTCAACCCTTACCAATTACTATTCATACTTACAGTGGTGGATGGTTAGTAACAATGTTCAATTCTGAAAGTGCATTTTAAAAAGTATTTAATTCATTTAATGTACTAAACAAAACGTGCAGTTGGTTGTTACTATTGGTAGTAGTATCATCAGTAATCTCATTATTTCTGATTAAACAGATAGTTTGTTGAATTTTTTGAAAATGACAGGAAATTGCTATTACTGGGTGAGCTCTAATAATAAATAGGCCATCACATCCACAAGTATTAGTATAAAGCATCTAAACTATGATATATGATTAAAAGGGCAGATTTAACCCTAACCTGACTCAAGCTTTCTTTCTTTCCCCGGCACCCCTAGCATTTCTTATATTTCTTAAGCCACCAGCTGCTTTGAGCCTGTGTAAAGAGACTCAGATTCAGCAATTATATTTATATGAAACAAGATAATAACTATTTCCAAAGCCATTTTGATTTTCACGTACATTTGTGACATCAAAGTCCTATTCTGACATTTCTAGCCCATATACTGTAAGTTATAGGTATACGTTATACAGTATACATACATAACTTCTGAGTTTGAAGTAAATGGAAATTTGGTATTTTTCCATACATTAGTCTTAAATGTAAACATGTTGCTTCTGGCATTACCGAATTAATGTTTTACAGTAAAAACATTAAATTCCTTTTTACAAATGCATGAGATATTGTTTCATAAAGTATACAAAGTAAATGCCATGCATACAAGTTTCTAGCCATGGCTAATTTGTAACCCTTTTGGAATTTTAGTATTTTAGTATTTATTTGCATCTAACAAATGCCTTTAAATTATATATATACAGTATGTAAAAGTGTTTATTATTTATATTATCATCGTACCTTGCATTGTTTTTCAGGTTTACTCTATGGGTACCCACATACTTGTACTGCTGCTCACAGGATAAACAGAACTAGTTGTTTTGACATCATGCACTATCATGAAACTCACTGGAAAGCTGAAGGGCATATGTCAGTTTTTATTTTGCTGACAATTTGACTTTACTGTGTGAGCTTACCTGAAATTCTTGCTTGTTAAGCAGATTCCTTCATGGTTGCAGACCTCAGTGTTTACACTCAGATGCTGGAAAAAGGGTTGTGTGGGAAGACATCACCTGTCTGATTACAGTAGAAACAAAGCCTTCCCTTTAAATATCAACAGAAAACGACATTGTGGGATTACAGGAGCCTGTTGTTGGACATACCCATATTAAAAGCTTGGGGATTCACCCATGACACAAATTGACTAAAAACTATTCTGATCCAGAGTTTGTCCCATTTGTCTCATCTAACATCATGGCTGATCCTATTTCCCCTGTACCATCAGAGGCTTACTGTCCTCTGTGTATGGACACATTGAGAGACCCGGTCACCATCCCCTGTGGAGACACCTACTGCTTGGAATGCATAAAGATCTACTGGGACCAGTTAGACCACATGGGTTTGTACAGCTGCCCACAGTGCCGTACAACCTTCACACCACGGCCCGTGCTGAGACGCAATCCGCCCGACGTAAAACCTAAGCCGCAGCGCCAACTTCCGGAGCTCAGTCCTTTCCCCTACATGCAGCGGGAATCCTTCTGCGATTTCTGTATTGGCCGCCGTAACAAGGCCGTCAAGTCGTGCCTCGTGTGCCTAGCCTACTACTGTGAAACGCACGTCAAGCCACATTATGAGTCGTCCACCTTCAGGAGACACAAGCTGGTGGATGAGACGGGCCACCTGGACAGGAAGATCTGCCCTCAGCATGAGAAAGGCCTGGAGCTGTTCTGTCGCTCTGACCAGATGTGTATCTGTGTGCTGTGTACTGTCAAAGAGCACCGCAGCCACAACATTACCTCAGCAGAAGAAGAGCGCATCGAAAAACAAGTGAGTCCGATTAGTTTGTGTGTCAACGTGTGGGAGATATTCATCCTGTGTGCTCTGAATAAACAGTTTGGAAGCCATTCAAATTGAAATTGAAAAAATTTAATTTTGGAGGAGGGACAAACTCTCTCGCACCAAAGCCTCATCCAAAATCACCCAAAATGCCGCAGATTATACACTAAAGTGATTTACAAAAGCCTTACTGTCACATTCTTCCAATAGAAAGTCTTGTTGGCCACCCAGTCTGAAGTCCAGCGCATCACTCAGGAGAGGATAAAGGAGCTGCAGGAGCTCAAACATAATGTAGACATTCTCAAAGTAAGATCAGGCATTTCCTAATCAGACATAAAGCATTCGGCTGATGCAATGTAACATTGTGTATTTAGGAGCAATATGATAATATGAGATGTTTTACAAAAATGTTAATGCCACTATGTATAGAATTTGAAAAAAAGGTATCTGGTTTCAAATATCACACTTCATCTGTCGTGATCCTGGTCTGATTCAGTTTTGTCCTTTGCATTATGTTAGGCCCAGCCTGTATTAATTCTTGTTTATAGTCTAATCTGTCTTCTCATTGTATATTTTGGCCTTGTGTGTTCTGTGTTTGATCTTTGTTTTAGTCTGTTCGGTTTTAGTTATCTTAGTCTGCTCTGTTTGTGGGTTCGGTATCTGCTTGCTATGGACTTTATTATCGCACTGCATGGATTCAGCCTTGTTTTGGACTTTCTCTGCACCATTGTGTACGCCCTATGTTCAGTAACTGAAAAATAAACATCCATAACTGCCTTCAGCGCTTCGGTGTCTTGCATTTGGGCTCAAACACCTCAGTCACATGACCGACCCTGACACCATCCTTTTCTGTAACCTCTCAAAAAAACTGATTTTACCTTTTAGAGTTGTGCCCAGCGAGCTCAGGCAGGAAGTGATAAGACATTCCACGAAATGCTGCAGGCGGTGGAGCGCTGGAAGGCTGAAATCAATCAGATGATAGTGACCAACATGCAGTCAGTCGTGTCGCAGGCTAAGGGCTATGTGGAGCGTCTGGAGCAGGAGATCATGGAGCTGCAGCGCAGAGACACAGAGCTACGGCAGATCATCGAAACAGAGGACAACATTCATTTTCTGCAGGTGCTGAAAGACCATACAGAGCTGCAAGAAATATAATGTAATATAAATCTGAGGGAATACTACATGTAGGCTACATAGATGAATGTTTTACACTCAGAAACTTACTGCTGTTTAGGGGAGTTTGCAATTAACTTTGACTCGTCATTGTCTTGTCACTGCGGGCAGAGATGTTTACACATCAGACACTATAATCTGTTAGTTACATGTAATCTTGAAGATATCTTTTTTAACATGAAAATACTGCTTAGGTTAAGATTCTTTTAATACAAGATCAGCACATGTCTTTTGCTGCTTTGTTTGCATAAGAAAAAAAAGGATCAGCAGGATCAACATTAGTGCTGGTAAAATTAACCATTTATACTAGGCACAACTTTTTACATGGCAATTTATTCATGTCACATGTAAACATCTTTGTCTGCTTCATGTGCTGTTTAAATAGCAGATGATAACTGTAATGTTGAATAAGTAAATGTAGTATCAACTGTAAATACTGTTTATATTCTTTTGATTGGGGCGAGGCTACTTTCTTAGTTTGTATTTCTGACTTGTTGACTGGATCATGAAGCTGCTATTTCTTGTTGAATAGAATTTTCCGACCCTGTGTGCTCCTCCTGAGGCCATGGTGCCGAAAGTGCTTATCAACCCTCAGTTCTCCTTTGGAGAGATGAGCAAGACAGCCACAGAGATGAAGGAACATGTGGATGACATCTGTAAGAAGGAATTGAGCAAAATCTCCAAGACAGGTTCATGTCTTATAGACAACATTGACAAAATATCATTATAATGTGACAACCATAAAGTGGGTCAGTAACAGGCTAACCTAATGCTGTATCATCTTCACAGTCAGTGAAACCCCTGTGTACATATTGTTGCCAAGAAATGGAGAAAAACAACTCAAAGGTAAGTGTCTGTTAACTGAAATACTTACAACTTTACTTACCTAAGCACACGTGAATATAGATCATATAGATTTTATTTTTGGGATGAGAACCAGAAAGATGTAGATTAAAAGTTGATTTATGTGATTGACCTCATATTTATTTGAAAATAAACAATTAAATAAAATTGAAAGTAATATTTGTCAGTGTTTTCATGTCCAAGCAGTTCCTTCTGGAGTTGATTTACAGGAGCCAAAAACCAGGAAAGACTTCTTAAGATGTGAGTAATGCGATTATGGTTCAGCCTATTGTTTGCCTATCACTGTTGTCAGAAACAAAGCAATTACTTTGTCATATTTGTTTTTCCTATATATATATTTATTTTTTTCAGATATTTAATAGTTAGTTGAAAATCAGACAGAGTGAGGGAAAGTGATCAATGAGATGCTCCACCTCTAAACATAAATAATTAAGAAATGTGTACTGTGTATGGCTGTCTTCGCTCAGACTGCTGCAAGATGTCCATTGATCCAAACACGGTCTCTAAAGAGCTGGTCTTGTCGGACAGGAACCAGAGGGTCACCCGGAAGAAAACAATCCAGTTTTATCCAGATCATCCAGAACGCTTTGATGGCTTCTGCCAGGCGCTGTGCAAGGAGCCTCTGACTGGTTTCCGATTTTACTGGGAGGCAGAGTGGAGCGGGGAGTTTTCCATCGGGGTGGCCTACAAGAGCATCAGTCGCAAGGGGAAGAGTTCGCACAGCCTGCTGGGCTACAACGACAAGTCTTGGAGTCTCCTTTGCTCAGACTCAGGCTACTCTGCCTGGCACAACAAAGTAGACAGAGACCTTCCTGATGCTCCCAAGGCCACACGAATTGGTGTGTACCTGGATTATGCAGGCAACACTGTGGCCTTTTACTCAATATCAGAGGCCATGGAGCTTATCCACAGATTCAAAACTCAGTTTAGTGAGCCTTTGTACGCTGGTTTTGGTGTGGGCTCCTCTGTTACCCTCTGCCAGCTACAGCCATTGTGAAGGGTTCAGAACTTACATGTACTGTATACAGTGTTAGATATTGACTGTACAGTACAAGGTAAAGTTATGGTCTGCCAAAAATGAATGCATATTATAAGTGTCACGATGGGTAATGTGAGGGCAATGGGGATTGGACCCAAATACAGACCAGGCAGACTGGTGAAGTTCAAGGATTTATTGTTAAGGAATGGGCTTACAGGCAAGTGTTGTTAGGCAGGAGATAGCCACTCAAATGCAAATGGAAACGACTGAACTGGCAATTAAGAAAGGAAGCGAACTTGTATTTCACTAACAAAGACCACGCCTACGAACGTAGAAGATTAACAATGGTTTATTGCTTGTAAAGGAGCCGAGATGGAAGAGAAAGGATCGAGTGCCCGGAGGGTGGGCTGAGGGATGTAGGGAAGGGGGAGGGGGTCGAGGTATGATGGATGAAGAGTTGAGGGGAGGACAGGTAAGGAATGAAGGGGAGGAGTTGGATCCACACCGATGGATGTGTGAGTGGAGAGCCGACCGGTGTCTACTGGCGAGAAGGTGTGCAGGAACCGGTGGAGTCGAGACTCAGGGTGGGGGAGTCGTCTCTTGTTCCGCAGACATGCAGAAACCCCCCGGTTCCTGTATGCAGACAAAGAGAGAGAAGGGAGCAGAGGGAGAGAGAGAAAAAGAAAGGGATTTGGGTGGGAGGGATGAGAAAGCCGAGACGAGGGGAGGCGAACGGAAAAGTTGTGCTTAAGTACTAGGTGTGTGGAAATTGGATGAGTTTGAGGCGTGGCCTTAGTTCCCGAATCTAGTTTATAAAACTTCATATATGGTGAGTAGCTGAGAGAATGAGTTGCAAGTGAGGAGTGGGCAGAGTGGGCCATGTAACTGTGGAGCAGATGTGACAAGTGAGGCCCCGTGTGTAGTTGGGGAGGAAATTGCAGTCAGTTGACAGGGAAAGTAGGGAAAGTCTGATAGCAGCTGGTGGATAACTTGAGGATGGCAGGTCTGGGGAGCTAAAGACAGGGACAGGGAGCAATGCAGACGGCCGGGGATGAGAAAGTGTGGAACATTGCACTCAAGAGCTGAAATAGTTGACAATCTCAGCCACAATCTGGTTGAGAGTTATGAATTCAGAAGCTATCTGCTCTTTTTTCTGCTACTTGAAGGACGTAGCCATTAGTGGCGAGACCAAAGTGAAGGTTTGCTCCATATCCAACTCCTGGCAGAGTATCCTTCAGGTGACACCCATGGCGTTAAAGCTGTATGGATAATGGTGCAAAGTCGTCCACTGTCAAAGTCATACTATAAATGTTTATGTCATAATTTGTAAATTTAATAACATATGCAATGGCACACACAAGTAATGTATAATGCAAAACACAAAAATGATTAGTGGTCTTATTGTTTGTCTCCTACAATAACATTATCAGAAGCCCAATTTGTCTGTTTGTAGAAGTATTTTTTTTTTATTCTCAAATTTTATGCAGCTATAATATACTTAACTGACCATATCATGTGTAATGAACATTGTACATTTTCCTCAGCCACTTCTGTCAGGCTACAGTTTAAACACGATGTTAGATGCATATTATTTACATATTCATACACTTAACATCAACATGTCAAACAGACCCCCTAAAAAAACAAGTATACTGTTGCGCACTTAATACCTCTTCATGTCCTTCAACCAGATGCACTAACAATGCAAACAACCCAACAAGTTGGAAAGCAGTATCAAGCTCTACCAAAAAATAACCTTTCATTACTTGTAAAACTCCAGTCTCTTCATATTACAGTTTTTGTCAATTGCTTAAAGAAATTTCTTGAAATTACACCTTTTCTCAAAACTCTAAACATAAATCCATAACTTCTCACCCAATTCCCCAAGCTTCCTATTTTCAGGTCAAAATGAAACTACTCCACTCAATACCATTCAATCTTGCTGAAAAACCAAACTTTGCCCTCAAAAACACACACACTACAACACATTCTTACACAATGGTGAGATAAATTCAAAACAATACTACAAAAACCCGGTTATAGGTAATGTTGTTTGTCGTTCTCCCCCTCAAAAACCTTTTCACATGATGAACACAACAAAAGAAACAACAAATGTATACATTTGCATATTTTTATCCCTTAATGTACTGTACAGTACAACACACCAAACAACAACAAAAACTCATTCTGCCCCAGCATTCCGTCTAGGACAGGACAAAGACTCATCCTCCACATTGTCCTCCTCCACCTTCTCCTCCTCTCCCTACTCATCCTCCACCTCCTACTACTTCTACTGCTTCACCACCCCTACCTCTTCCTCCTCTCCCTACTGTTCTTCCTCCTCCTCCTCCTCCTCCTCTCTGGTGTCCTCTACCTCTTCCTTCACTGGATCCATTGTTCCAAAACTGAATGAACTGACTCTGAGCCTTTTATCTATCAATTTAAGATCCTGATTGGTGTGCGATCAGTTATGACTCTTTGTGTTTCCATCTAGGTAACTGTGTGCTAATTGAGCTCAAGTTTTGCTGACTTGAGTGAGCAATATTGAATGTTAGTGCTTTCTCAATGAGCACATGGTGTAGGCAATAGGAAATGGTTGTGCTCTTTGAAAAATGGCATTATGTTTTTGAAATTTTAGTTTAAAGCCTGGTTATAATCTTTAAGTAATCAAGAAAAACTGTGAAAAATAAAAATTAAATAAAATCTGAGACTGTAAACACATTGCCATAGTCAACCAATAAATGGACAGTTGACCATAAGCTCAACTTTAATGACGCATTCATCATTGTTGATGGCACAGTGACTTATAGGAACATTTGTGTTTGTTCTCTCAACTTACATGATTTGCAAGAGAAATGATCCAATGTACAATGCTGTTTTGAATGGCTGACACCTAACAGACTTGAAACATTGCCATGGCCCTAATGCAGACTTACAGGTGTTGGAGGCAGCAAACTACTACAGAAATGTCGGGGACTGCTGTATTGTACACACTGAGTGAAATAACATTAATGTATATTACAACAACCCTAACTGTTGTGTTTAACCCTGTTGTGCCCTGTTGTGCATTAACCCTGCTTTTCTTTTTGTTGTCTCAAATGCTTAATCTGCCTGTATGTGATTTGGATGTTTTCTTTTGATACTATGTCTGCTGACAGTTTGAATAAAAAAAGGTTTCCACAGTCATGTGATACATGCCAGTTAAATATGTCCGGGATGTTTATTGGCACAAACATTATATAAAAGCACTGAAAACATTTGGAAGTGCTGCATCCGACCGCATTTTGTATTTATGTAATTTTTATTCCTGATTTTTTAAAGGAATCTATTTCAAATGAGTAGCTTGTGAGTATCGAAGTATTGATCCCACAGCATTGATCTGCCCATCCTTAGTGAGATTCAATTCTTCTTTGTTTGGGAATGGGAGAGGAAGGTAGTGAGGGATTTTATTTTGTGTGGTGTGTTGTAAATAAATAATAAAGAATGTTTAAATTTGTCCTGTTGATAACAAATTAAATTTATACAGTTAGTCAAACCCACAATGCTCAGTTACAATACCAGACAGCAGTAAGGAAAATGATAAGAGCCTGTAAGGCTATTTCTGTGACACTACAAATCTTCACTTCACTGCTGCTTGACTAGAACTCAAGACACTGTTCAACTCTAAAACCAGGTTTGAATCAACATCTGTGCAGCTTTAGATTGAATGGGTGAATTTGTTTAATTATGTACAGTATGTTATTGCTGTGAACTGTCTAGGAAATTGTTGTATATGCTTGTTGTTGACAAAGAGTTATTGTGCATTCTTTATTTTGTATTAACAAGCCCAAAATGATCAAAGAAACATTACATTTCAGGTTAGAACTTGTGAAGCAGTCTTCAGATACAATATGAAAATCACCTTGCAGAGAATAGTTCATCTGTTGTTGAATCTCATGATGTGGCTATAACCATCGCTTCTCAGTCAACAGCATCCTCACACTGGTTATGTAATGTGGCTGATATTGGCAGGTCTGCAAAGTTGCTTGAAGACTATGGAGTTTACCAATACCTTAACCATTTGCACAAGCTGAGCTTTAACAACTGGGTTTATACAGTCCATCCTTTATCTCCACAGGGTGGGGAAACTCATCTGGTTCGGGGAGCTCTACTTATTACTGTCAATGTACTGCACCTATTCTGTGCCACCATGTGTATTGTGAACACTTGAAACTGTGTTCAATAAAAAGCTGGTAAAATGTGAAGCAGCTGAAACAGTGAGTAACTCCCATTACTGATAATAGCCAGAATATTCAAAGCTTGATCATTGTTTTGCCTGCAATGTTTTGATAATCTGTTGATAAATGAGTGACAGGTTGCATGTATATTAACATAATTTGCATGTTTAGTTACCAGAGAGCTTAGGTTGAGCTGGTGATGCATTGCAAACATGAGGACTTCACATCTGATGTGAGCATTCGAATATCAGCATTGCCAAAACAGGACAGAAAGAGTGGTTCGTATTAATTTCTGTTAAATTGTTTAATATGTTACATTATTAATTTTAGTAATCACATCATATTAAGCTTGTAATCACATTCGGCTCAATTGTTTTCTCTGATTTTGGCAGTAGATTTGATTAAACTACGATGCTGAGCCCTTTTTTTTCTGTCTCCTCTAAGTCTGATTCAGATTGGAGTACTTTACCCTGAAAGGCTGAACTGAAATTTCAAGGAAAATGAACTCATCTAATGCATCTTTTCTCTCTGACACTGATATTTTGACAATCACCGCCTCCACAATCAATCTCGTCCTGAGTCTGCCAACCAACAGCTATATTGTGTGGCTCATAGCGACCAGAGCAAGAGGCATGTTGGTGGCAGAGTTCTTCCCGCTCAACCTGGCTGTGTTTGAGATTCTCAACAGCTTGATTTATGTCGCCGGCTGTCTCATCTTCATCTTCCCCTCAATGAAACTTATATCATCAGTTCCATTTGGTTTTCTGTGGAGCGGCCGACCCTTGCTGCAGTGCTGTATCTGCATAGAACAGTTTCTGGCTGTGGTTCACCCTGTACGCTTCCTCAGGTATAAACCACTGAGGTACAAAGCAGCCTTCTCTGGAGTAACTTGGGCAGTTATTATTGGTTTTACTATATTTTATGCACTCTTTCCCCAGGCACATGTTGTTTTTGTGGTTGAATGGATGGTCTTGATATCAGTGATGTTGTTCTGCTACTTTTCAGTTCTTTTGGCTCTAAAAAGGCCTCGGCCAGGGGAGGGGAAAATGGAAAGAGATAACAACATGAAGAGAAGAGCGGTTCTTACTATCCTGGTGACCATATTGTCATTTGTGGGAACATACATCTTGTGGTGTGTTGCTATTCTTTCCCAACTAAGCACATGGTTTACCCATGGTAGGAGAATATTAACAAGAACATCCCTTTTCATTACTTTTGCGAGTGGGTTTTTCCAGCCACTCCTTTACCTGCAAAAGACTGGAAAATGTTCTTGCAGTAAAGCTGTGTGAGGATATGCATAGGGTAAGCTTTCGGAGGCATTCATGATGGTCTGTGCATGAATGTTCATTACTGACCACTGGGAACAATACTTGTGAATGGTAAAGTGAGTCTAAGCTCAAAGGTCTTGTTTCTTTATAGTGGTATGATTACTCTAAAGATGTCTCCTAATGATAAATAGATCAATAGGTCAAACTTTCTATCATTTTTATTTGAATTAAATTACTGAATCTTCTCTGAATTATATTTTTTTCAGTTTTTGCACTTGCTCTGTACCTCTTATAATGGTTAAATAGACCTAAATAATGTGAGAATATCCTAATTATAAACATTTATTTGTATAAATGGTTGTTATTTTGTTCAAATAAAAAAAGGAATATTGCTGTTGTTTGGGTTTTTTAAAACTATATAATGAACAACTGATGATAGCCCTGCTTTTTCCAAGATGAGTCCTGAATACTCTACGAAACATGTATAAAAGGACAAAGCTACGAACTCCATCATGTACAGTTCTTTCACCTGAATGCAATGCATGCTGGGAAGTATGTACAATAAAGCTAATATTTTTTATTTTGAAATAACTAAATGTGATGAGTTGCTTAAACAATCCATTGATCATTTAGTCTTCTGAACTCATTGTAGGAGTACTCATGATGACCAGTTCTGATAATTAAATCGTTTAAACTTGAAACTGAGACAGTAATAAGAGAAAATGTATTTAATATAATTTGTAAGATTTTACAGTGCAAAGGATAAAATAAACACAGAGTGCAATCCCCAGCTAAAGAACACAAGTGAAAAAAACTTGATAATAAAGCACAGATAAAGATTCAGTGTTATCAGGACCTTTTCACATTTTTTGAAGCAAGAGACTAATTTGATTTGTTGGCACAATTTATATTTTCACTTTAAATGCTGATCATTTAAGTTTCTAGGCCCTAAGAACTTGTAATTGCTATTTAAGCCAAAAATAAATGTATCCAAAAACATTCTTTCCACACATTTTCCACAATCTGCACAGTGCAAAAGTACAAGATAACATAACTGAGCATCTCACCTTAGTGGGTGATTTTACAAATATTAAGTTATGTCATATGATGTAAATTACTGAATCTATGATTAAATACTGAAATTGACATACCTAAGAGATAAAAGAGTGGTGTTGGTGGGCCAGTTATCTTTGGGACACAGTTTGAAGTCGAACTTAATTTCCTCCTTATTGCAAACAAATACCCATATCCAACACCACACTATAGTTATAGTGTGGTGTTAAATATAGAGTGTACGTCTTCCACTAATATGGATGGTATGTTTCTTTCCACTGTAATGCCACTTTTGTTTTCATTACCTCTTATCCTTATACTAGGTGCCTCCATTCCAATGCCATGGAATGCACCAAGGACAATTACCACTGGATGGCAGTATTTCTCTTGTTAATTGGTTTTATAGTTACATTTCTTTTTTGAATTGCTAACCTGCATTGGTGAAAACTGAAGTCATATTGTCAAAATTCATCACACAGTCAGCGAAACAGAAGCGTATGTGGACCAAAGTACATTTTGTGTTTATGTCTATGTGTGTAGAGAAATCTGTACAAGTAGATTGCAAGTAGAACAAGTAGAATTTCAATTCTGATCTAAGAAACGTGACTGAGAACAACTGTATTCTCTAATGAAATACTGATTTGCATGAAAAAATCACATTTCATAGATAAAAGTTCATCAAATTCACGTAATGCTTCCTGTTGTTAGTGGTTTGTAGGTGGGTGTGTTATGAGTGACAAAGTTTGCTCTCTGAGTCAGAATTGTTGCCAGTGTTTTGGTTGAACGAGTTACTGTAATTTTGAGGCTTGTATGAAGTGTTTTGGTGGTTTTTCACATGGTGAAACAGGTGGACAATAAAGACAATATTGAATTGAATATTGAATATTTGAGATTAACTGTTTGGCCAAGATGCATGCTCGTAAAGGAGAGTTTTGAAAAAGTAGCTTCAGGTTTGACCATTGGATCTTAGCAATTGAAAAAAATTGTAATTCATTATTGAAACAGGAGGTCTCACTGCTTCTCTTTACCTTCTACAGTAGGAGAAACATGTAATCGAGAAAAGAATTTGGTCAAATGTTTAGCTGAACAGAAATGTATCAAAATCCACAAGAATCTGGTGTATCACATTTCTGTGTTATATGGACTGTGCATGAACAAATACAGCTTTATTTTTATCGTTTTGGTACCATTATCGTAAGTATATGGTAAAAGTTTACAACTCTTAGTACAAAACTCAAAGCAGATCATCAAAAAGGCTTTTCAAACATGTAATCATATGTTCAATCGACTAAGTACAAAACACAAAATTACACAGTAACTTTTTCACCACACCTAATCAGTGTGTCATCAAAGAAATACCTTTCATATGAAGTAATTGTCTTTCACAATGCAATGCTCATAAATACATTTGACATTTGAACACTTAATCCAACTGATCTTAATGGTAAATCACTGAACCGTTTGGTAAACCTATGGATTTGAAATTGGTTTGTCAGCGATATAAAATTTGTGT